GGGTATCAGAGGGGGGGAAGCATTAATGAGTTTACACAATAAACCTCTTATTCAAATCAAATATGAAATAAGACTCGGCCGCTTAATACAAGTTCTAAAATTCAACGGTCATTTCCGTGAAAACTTTAAAAAAATATATTTCATACACTAATCACAGACAAAACAAATGCTTGGGCGCGCTTGTGACGCCCCAAATCTTTTTAATGGTCGATAGAATCTGTTTATATAACTATATTATCCTAAATCTGTTGTAATGTCTTGTAAAAAATCTATAAATTATATGCAGTATGGGTAGTACTGATAGAAACTATTAATTATATACTGTTGAATAGCTAAAATAAAATCTGATTCAATTAGCTAAGAACACTGGCGTTTATAATTCCAGAAATTGTATTAACGGTGGGTTCTTTGATAAACTGACAAAAGTGGTGTGTCACTAATTCTAAGGTTGCTAAGCATTTTAGGGGGAGGTGCCCATGATAGTATGTAATGCTTAACCGCAGACTCCTAGTATAAGAAATATGTCAGCAGCTAGGTACCAGGTCTACACTGTTAAAACTTTACTAGATGATGGCAAGGATATTAAACTTCATATTTGTCGTGGCAGACCAAGATCGTTATTTCTGCGGACCCGTGAGGGAAGGGTACAGCTAATATTTAGACTAACACAGAATGGACCAATAGCCAGCTGACTGGGGACCACAGGGTGTCCAGGGGGACAACCAGAAGCTTGTTAAAGGGCACTAGGAGCCAAATTATACAATCTTTTTTCTAAAGAACTTTTGTGATACAACGCCTGACCCACTGTAAGAAGTATTTAATCTTATTAAGAAAAATGATTAAATCGTTTTAAAAATGTTAATAATTACTTATCCAAATATTCTCTATAACATTGGTCTTTTAAAGGGACTGTAAAGGAAAAAATAAAAGAGGGTATAGACTGAAACCTAAACATTTAGCTCTTGATCGCGACCCATGAAAGTTCTATCTGATGTTTCTGTCTCGAGAAATTTATATAAAACTGTGTCAAATTTATACGAAAATTCATAAATACACAATTTTGAATACAAGTACTAGGTTTAAATAGATCATATTCAGCAAATACGCAACCAATCTGAAAACAACAATATCTCAGAGAAGCCTAATTGTAATTTAGGTTTGCTCCCACCAATGGCAGTGGAGTATACTGGTCATGTGATACAGATGGACACAAGACCAGTATACTACACTGTCACATGACTTAAGATTCAGATTTTCAAAATTATATATATATATATGAATTTTTCCTGGGACCATGTGAGTTGCCACAAAAGTTTGGGCCTGACATGATGTTTATAGACTAATCTTGAAATCAGGTCTGCTTAATGTTGACGAAACTTTAAGTAACCATCCATTTTAAGAGTTACAACAGTGCCCTATTTAAACCTTATATAGCTGAGTATCAAGGAAGATATCATGCAGTTTTTAAAAGTATTCAATTCGATCAATTTCCTTAAATGTCATTGCAACAAGAAACAACATTTAGATATTAAAAATTTACAGCCAGAAAAATTAGGATATCTCACTCAGTCATACTTGATCACACAATAGTTTACAGGATACTGTTGTAAATGGAATAAAACAAGGTTAACGATACAGAATGAGACTTGAGACCTGTCGACTGCACGTGATTCATTTTGGTTCCTGTGATGTTGACATTCTACTGAGCAAGCTTGAACACATATGGATTTCGCGGGACTTCTAATTTATGGTTCAAAAATTATTTAAAGGGAAGAAAACAATTTACTTCAATTAGGGGTGTTGAATCTTCACTTAAAGACATCTCTCTTGGTGTACCACAAGGGTCGATATTAGGACCAATTTTACTTCTAATTCTTATCAATGACCTTCCTTAAGCATCGAAACTTTTACAATTCTTTTTGGCCGAAGATACAACACTACAACTTTCTTCAAAAAGCTTACACGACTTACACGATTTGGCAAATTTTGAGCTCTCTAAAATAGAAGATTGGTTTAAAGCAAACAAACTGACTTTGAATGCGTCTAAAACCAAATATATTCTCTTCAAAAATAAAAAAGAAGATGTAAGTATCACCTCGCTTAAACTTCAAATAGATAATAAAGATATAGAAAGAGTAGGAACTGGATGCAAAAATGAATCATTTAAGTTTGTAGGTGTTCATTTAGACGAAAATCTTAACGGGAACCATCATCTTAATTCGGTTAAAAACAAAGCATCCAGTGCAGTTTTTGCTTTGTCAAGTGTAAAAAATATTCTTCCTAGTAATATTAAACTAACCATTTACAACTCCTTATTTCGTTCATTTATAGAATATGGAATTTCAGCCTGGGGAAGAAACAAATGTTCAGAAATGAAACAAATTCACATTTTACAGAAACGAGCAATACGATTAATTGATAACTCAAAAGCCACGTCTCATAGTGATCCTCTTTTCCTTAAGTATAAGATTCTAAAGATTAATGATCTGGTAGACTTTAACCAAGCTATATTTATGTATAAATATACACATGAACTACTTCCTGCATCTTTTGAAAATATTTTTAAAAAGCTTGGAAACTTTGAAAGATCTCTTAACTATCAATTTGTCAATTCTCAAAATGTGCTCATCACAGTATTTACCATCAAGCTCTCTTCTTCAGATGTTGAATGACCTGCCCCTTGACTTAAAAAGAAGCAACTCTCTAAGTATATTTAAAAATAGAGTACTAAATTCTCTTTTTGAAAATTACATTACAATGTGTTATAAACCGAATTGCTATGCATGTAAAACTAATTAGATATGTTTTAATATGCTTTATATTTGTTGTGTACATGTCTGAAAATTACTTTAAACTGTAGTTGTTCTAATTAATGTATAAACTATTTTGCATAAGATAAAATCGCACCCTCATCTCTAATAGTTCTCCTTCAATCTATTTAATTGAAATGTTTTGTTATCATTATTAAAATTAGATGGAAAAAATAATCAAAACAGCCAAGAGCTATTTTCCACCTAATTGCTTTATACTTGTACTGTTAATATAATCATCAATTTGTAATTGTAAACTCGTTCTGTACGCAGATACATGTATTTTAGCAATAAACTTTATCTTATCTTATCTTATCTTACTGCCTGGTTCCTTATTCATGAGTTCTTACATTTATAAACTTCTGTCTTTCTAAACCAAATCATTGAATAAGGCAGAAGACTTAATTTAAACTTGGGATCGTTAAAATTGAAGAGTTTCAAGTCGTCTATCTAATCCTATTCACTATAGGTAACCCTGTACCACTCTAAATAATGTGTACAGTTCTTTTAATACCAAGCGAATCTATCATTTAATTTAACGTAAAAAGTGTGAATTGTGATGCAGTTTGGGTTCAAGTGTGTAAACTCTAGTTGTTGCCAGGTCCATCTGTCATGGCGCCTGGCGCCTCTCTAAACCTGACTTAGGCGCCATGTAAGCAGCTTCAAAGGCTCAGTTATCCTTGGTGCACAGACCTGTACGCACAGTTATTCTTTATGCTTTATTCTTTATTCTTAGCACAGTTATTCTTTATTCTTTATTCTAAGCACTGTTATTCCTTATTCTTTATTCTTAGCATAGTCATTCTTTATTCTTAGTACAGTTATTCTTTATTCTTAGCACAGTTATGCTTTATTCTTGGCACAGTTATACTTTATTCTTTATTCTAATCACTGTTATTCTTTATTCTTTATACTAAGCATATTTATTCTTTATTCTTAGCACAGTTATTCTTTATTCTTAGCACAGTTATACTTTATTCTAAGCACAGTTGTTCTTTATTCTTTACTCTAAGCACAGTTATTCTTCATTATGTATTCGAAGCATAGTTATTCTTTATTCTTAGCACAGTTATTCTTTATTTTAGCACAGTTATACTTTATTCTAAGCACAATTGTTCTTTATTCTTTATTCTAAGCACAGTTATTCTTCATTATTTATTCTTTATTCTTAGCACAGTTATTCTTCATTCTTTATTCTTTATTCTTAGCACAGCTATCCTTTATTGTTAGTTCAATATTTCTTTATTCACAGTTTATTTATTATTTATTTTTAAATTTTTAAAAATACCTCAAAGTTGACAATAAAAAGGTTCTTAAAATGAAATCTCAAAGTAATTTTATGCGACCCTATTTTGAAAATTTGCCCGATTCAGAACGGTTTCCTTATTTTTATCTGAAAATTGATAACTTTCTATTGCAGTAAAAGAATTTGTGCAGCCGAGCGAATGCATGTCTTTTCAATAAAGAAACGACAATATCTTCCTCATTGTATGATGATGAACTAATAAATGGTACTATCGGGAATATACCGTTTTATATGGAGTGGTATTTCAAATATGATTGAGTGGTCCAGAGTCCTTGTATTTCCAATGTGATCGAGTGGTCCAAAGTCCCTGTATTTCAAATATGATTGAGTGGTCCAGAGTCCCTGTATTTACAATGTGATTGAGTGGTCCAGAGTCCCTGTATTTCCAATGTGATTGAGTGGTCCAAAGTCACTGTATTTCCAATGTGATCGAGTGGTCCAGAGTCCCTGTATTTCCAATGTGATTGAGTGGTCCAGAGTCCCTGTATTTCCAATGTGATCGAGTAGTCCAAAGTTCCTGTATTTCCAATGTGATCGAGTGGTCCAAAGTCCTTGTATTGCCTAATTGGTTTGATATGCTTATAAAACGTGATGCTTGAGTAAAGATAACAACGGTAAAATTATTATATTTACCAGATATTTAGCAAAATGTGCAGATTAACACACAGTTAGCCATCGGGCCGTTAGATAGATAGATAGATAGATAGATGGATTCTTAGATAGATAGATACATATAAGATAGATAGATTTATAGATATATTATGATAATTAGACAACTTGATTGAATTTTCGCATGTTTTAACTATTTTTTTTGCCATCTTCCGATCAAGTTATAGATGGATAGATAGATAAATAGAAAGATAGATTTTAACAATTTGATTTTTTCAGATTTTTGTTGGACTGGCAAGCTTTAGAGCTTGCAAAACCAACAAAATATCAACTTGAAACCCAAAACTAAACAAAAGTGAGTAATCTTTAATAACATTACTTTACAGGAATTTTAAAAGAATTTTAAGGGTTTCCAAGACCGATTTTGCAAAAAAACATCCAAAGCGCAGCGAGGGATATTTTTAACGCAAAACTTGCCAGGAAACCCTTAGAGAAGCTAAATATTTAATTTTCCGAAATACTCAGTTGTTTCATTAACATTTAATTTTATCGTATTTTGATATGAAAATGAGCAAATTTTTTTACGAAAGAGTTGAATGCGGTAGAAACAATATGTTATATATTTTTAATTATAATATTCAATTTGTACAAAGTTATACCAACTTATTTTGAGAGTGTGATTTTTTTTTCTGAAAAAGATTTAGGAATTTAGAATTTATTTTTAGAACTCCATGGACAGAGTTTATAAAGAAGAATCCAATTATTCAACACCGCTGTAAATCGAATAGATTCAAAGGTAAATAAAAATGTAGTTTTCTTTCCTATGACCCCATTTTCTGCCCTTAGGGACTGTAAGAGTAATTTCAATTAACCCTCCATGGAAAGATTTCAATGCCCCAATTTACAACGATACCCTTAAAAGCTTTGTATGATCAAGTAAGAATTAGATATCCACTGTTTTAGTTTTTGATAACTGTTTACTGTCATTTGTGGGTTCCCTGGAAAAGTGTCTAGCGCATTTATTGCTTTTGAAAAAAGTAATCAGAATTAAACACTTTTCGAGTCTGAAAAAACGACAGTATCTTCCATATTTTTGATCAGATTAAGGTTTCTGGAATGAGGTCGGTAGAATAAGGTTTTAAATGGTCAAATGGTCTGTAAGCGTATTTACAAGTGACCCATCAAAGGTAAATGAAAATGTAGTTTTCTTCCCTATAACCGCATTTTCTGCCCTTAGGGACTGTAAGAGTAATTTCAAGTGACCCTTCATGCAAAGATGGCAATGCCCCAATTTACAACGATACCCTTGAAAGCTTTGGCTGATCAAGTAAGAATTAGATATCCACTGTTTTAGTTTTTGATAACTATTTACTGTCATTTGTTGGTTCTCTGCAAAAGTGACTAGCGCATTTATTGCTTTTGAAAAAAGTAATCAGAATTAAACACTTTTCGAGTCTGAAAAAACGACAGTATCTTCCACATTTTTGATTAGATTAAGGTTTCGAGAATGAGGTCGGTAGAATAAGGTTTTTAATGGTCAAATCGACTGTAAGCGTACTTTCAAGTGACCCACCATGTAAATTGGGAAGTGCCATCTTAGCATACGCCGACGTTCTCTAAAACCTTATTTGACCGACTAATCAACTTTTTGAACCGACTGATTTATTGTACTTAAAATACTGCTTACTGTAACTCCATGTTAAATTAATCCCATTAAAATATTTTCCATTCAACGATTACAAGTTATGTTCTTTTTTCCATTCAACAATTACACATTATATGTTCTTTCTTCCATTCAACAATTACACGTTATGTTCTTTCTTCTGCTATTAAACAATTACACATTATTTTCTGTCTTCCATTCAACAGTTACACGTTATGTTCTGTCTTCCATTCAACAGTTACACGTTATGTTCTTTCTTCCATTCAACAGTTACACATTATGTTCTTTCTTCCATTCAAAAATTACACGTTATGTTCTGTCTTCCATTCAACAATTACACGTTATGTTCTGTCTTCCATTCAACAATTACACGTTATGTTCTTTCTTCGATTCAACAATTACACGTTATGTTCTGTCTTCCATTCAACAATTACACGTTATTTTCTGTCTTCCATTCAACAGTTACACGTTATGTTCTTTCTTCAATTCAACAATTACACGTTATGTTCTGTCTTCCATTCAACAATTACA